CCAGCTGAAGAAAATGCCGATCATGATAGTGAAGATGAGGAGACTGAAGAACAAGTTCCACGAAGAAATCCTTAGCGAAATAGACAACCACCGCCATGTGGAACTCATTCGAAAAGACGACATCGGTGATCCAATTGTATTTTAATATTATTTAAATAGTTATATTTCATAAATTTATGTAATTTGGTTATGTTATTTAAATGTTTCATGGTTGTTACACCAATATTTTTAATATTATTTTTTATTCAAATTTAACATTAAATGTTTTTAATATACAAATTATAGTTTTCGAAATTTAAAATTAAAATACAAATTATGGTATTCAAAATTTAACATTAAATTCAACTTAATATTCCAATTGTATTCAAAATTAAAAGTTATATTCCAATTATAGTTCACAGTACTTAAATTGAAATTAAATTTATCCATACGTATGATTTATCCTTAACATATACATTAAAACACATTGGTCAAAACGACTTATTTTCGTTTGGGTCAACTCTTTGCAAAGCTCGGTGGACAAGCTCTTACTTGGATGCAAAACGGCCATATTTACCACCCAAGACTAGTAGCTGATTTATAGAAAAAAATGGTTGCATCAAATGGCATGTTGGTTATAAATTTTTCTCGCACCCGTGAATTGTTTCGTGTTACCGAAATGCCACATCTGCTGCAAGGGATTTAAGCTAATTCTTTCAGAGTTAATCTGCAAGAGAGGTGGTGCGATTGTGGTTTCTTTCAAGCACTCAAATATCCATGCTCTCATGTTATTGCAGCTTGCTCACATTCGCATTTGTACTACAAAAATTATGTTGATCCCGTATACCAACTTTCACAAGTATTCAATGTATATGAATTTGAGTTTTCACCCATAGGAAACGAAAGAGACCCAGTTGAGATTCAAATTTGACTTACAATTGTACTAGATCCATTGCTATTGAGAGACTCAGGTCGTCCAAAATCTACTAGAATACATTGTGATATGGATATTCGAGAGAAGTCAACAGAACAAAAACGATGTAGACATTGTAGAAACATCGGGCACAATAGAAAAAAATGTCCAGCTCTGTTATCATTACATAACCGTTAACCCTTATGTAATTAATATTCTATTTAAATGAATTTTTTTGTTTCTAATATTTAAATGTAATTGTTTTTTCTATCATTTCTCAATGTATGTACATCTAAATACATTTTATTTTTTTTAAATTTTTATTTAAAAATTATTTTATGATAGTTATTTAATATAATAGTTAATATTATTTATTATAAAAATTATTATTAATTATAAAATATTATAATAATTCCACCTTCTAAGTAGAGAAAAAAATATTAAATTAAACAAATTAGAAGTTATAAAAAAATTATGTATACGATGACACATTTCATGTTCTGATTGGAGGATTAAATTTATTAAATTAAATTAAAAGTAAGACTAAATTGATAAAATATGTAAGTATTGAAGATTAAATGTGTAATTATACTAATTTTATTAACTTATACATCAATATTTTCGTTAAATATTGATAACAGATGACTAGATTGATAATATTTAAATAATTAAGTGACAAAATTAATAGATCGATAATCAAAATAAAAAATAATAGATATATAACCATACGTGTAATATTATAATTTCATATATTTTTCCTATAACTAGAATAAGATCAAAGCTGGTTTTCATCTATTGTTCCATCATATTAATGTCGCGTGGAATGGGTGAATGCCAAAGTCCTTGAAACATATAACACTAAAACCTAAATTCACTAAACCTTTAACACACATTTAAAAAATACATTAGATAATTCTTAAATTATAACCGAAACACTTTATATAATATATTACTAATTTATAATAACAATAAAAATAAAATCTTTATTATTAAAAAAATACCAGCATGGCATCCGACTCAGCAGAACTCATATAAAGCGCGTCCCCGGAGATGCGCCTTTACACGCGTGGCATCCCAGTCAACATAAACCCAGTAAAGAGCGTCCCCGTGGATGCGCCTTTGTGTCACCTCAGCCGAAAGGGTGCTACTTCGGGAAATATTGGTCAAAGGGTGTTAGAGAGGGAATATTACGACGAAAAGATGTCAGTTTAGTCAAATCGTCAGTTTTGACGGGGGCTACATCTTCTTTTTCAAAGCTTTCGAGAAGAGATACCATGGACCAAGAGAAAAAAAACCAACTAAACGTCTTATATATTACTAAAGTAATGCATCAAAATATATTTTAAGTAAATTAATTATTTATAATTACATTAAAACTCATATTTAAATTATCACTTTTGTTCTGATTTAGTATCTTAATTTTTATTTTTTCAAAATCATACATAATATTTATTTTTTATTTTATTTTAGTTAAAAAGTTAATTGCACAATTGACGTCATATTTTTATTTAGGTAAATGACAAAATTTATCACTTAACTATCTTCTCACTTCTATTTTAATCACTAAAATTTTAAAAAAATCAATTTAATCATTAAACTTCTAAATTACTTGTATTTTTATCTCTCTTTGATGATGTGGATTATTTTATTATTATTTTTAGTATGATATGACAAATTTATTATTATTTATGTCAAATAAAATTTAAAATCAAAATTAAAATCCTTAATCTTAATCCTAAATCTCCAAACCTCAACCCATCTTTAACATCATCTTCATGTAACAAAGAATACCCAAAAATCCAAACTAGCCCTTGTTTTTTCTTTCATTTCCTTCTCTTCCCTTGCATGAAGCAGTGCTATGATTGAGTGAAACTACACAAAAAAATAAAAAATAACCTTGCAGTCCATACCTATCTTTATCAAGTTCTTGTTCTTCTTTTTTTAAATTCTTTTCATTTTGATTTTATGATTAGGTACGTGAAAGTAAAAAGGTGTAACGTTGTTTTTGTTTGGTTAGTGATCTAGTGAAACGTGTTATCTTTATTTTGCCTAGAAAATGAGAGAAAGTGCAAGAAAATAAGTATAAACAGAAACTTTGATTTTTTGTTTTGTTTTTGTCTCATAATATTTATCTCTTCTTTATTTTAGTTTTACTTTTCTAGAACAACAATATTTTAAGAGGAAATGAGAAAGCATGGATGGCAACTTCCTTCTTGCTCACTTCCTTCTTGTCCACTTCCTTCTTGTCCACTTCATACGCTTTCCCTTTTATTGTTGTTGTTTTTATTTTTATATAAAAAGTTATGAGCATTTTGTTGTTTCAATTATGAGTATTGAGCAATGTTTACATTTTCTTAACTTGTCTTTGTGAAGGTTATGGTGGTGGTTGTATTCTTGACATTTAAATTTATTTCTCTGTGTTCATTTGTTTCTAGTTCGCAAGCAATTTTTCAAGTGATTCTTATGTGGTGGTCGGAGGGTGATGTAGGTGGGGTTGGGGTTTGGATTGACGATTGGGGTTTGAGGATTAAAGGTTGAATTAAAATTGTATTTTTTTTATTTTAAATCTTATTTGATATTAAATATTAATTAATTTATCAAGTCATATTAAAACTAATATAGTCCACGTCATTAGAGAGTATCAAAATAGAAGCAATTAACTTTTAAACTTCGTGATCAAAATAGGAGTGAGAAGATAGTTGAGTCTGTGTAGTTTACCAAAATAAAAATACCACGTCGTATGTGCCATGAACTTTTTAACGGCGATGTACTAAAATAAAACAAAAAGTAAATGTTAGATTTGGTTTTGAAAAAATTGAAAGTTGAGGTACTAAAATGGAAAAAAGTAATAGTTTAAGTACTAAACGTGTAGTTTACCTTCTTTTTATTAAAAATAACAGGCCGCCGCCGAACTAAGCGACTGTGAATTGAAGTGCTCGATGTTGTTACAGTTGATTTTTTGACGAGTTAAGGTAGTCACTTGCAGTGACTAATGTTGATGGTCGATTTTAACTTATATAACTTAAAAATACTACTTTAAAATAAATTAAATTACTTAAATTAATTATTATTTTTGATAAAAATTATAATTCTATTAAAATTATAACTAAATTTTAATAAATGATTAATTTTAAATAAATCCTTATACTTTTTAATATTTATATGATAATAATATATTTATTTGTGATATGTTTTCGAAGCGTCACTTTAGTGGTACATTATGATATGCGATGTGAGATATAGACTTATCTTATAATTTCTACCATAACCGCCCCCGAAATGTAATAACCCTCTCTTATATGTAGGTTTATTATACAATTTGGTACATGGATTTCACATTTTTTCCTCTCAAATTAATGTTTAAATTAAAAATATATTTTTAAAATTGATAGCTATATTGATTTGACATTTAAACAATATATTATATTTTTTATGTGTCGTTGATTAGTTAAAATGATAATGTCTTTAAATGTTAAAATATAATTGGTAAAAATAAAAAGTATAAAATCTAATTGGTTGTAGAAATCAATCAACTTTAGTGGTTAAAAAAAGTCTTTATTTTTTTTAGAGGTCACGAGTTCGAGCACTGACAGGGGTATAAGTGTTCAGAGTTAATTGATTGAGAATACGGCCTTATATTTACCTCAAATGTATAAAAAAATAAAATAAAATCTAATTGGTAGTTGAAATATCATTATCTAACTCCAAATATCAATTTGAAAAGAAATATTAAATTCAGTTTCCAATTTGTGTATAACAAGCCTATATCGTAAAGTAAATTATTTTAGATTTAAGATTAAAGATTTTAATTGGGTGCTTCGTTAATATCTTTAATTTTTAGTTTATTAAATTAGTTTTGGTATTGATTTTTTTTTTTTACAAAAAAGCTTAAATGATGGGTTACCTGCTTCTCCGCCAATCTACTTCCAAAGCATTACTACTACTTGCTTAATAACCAACTTATTTAAACACGCCATGTCGTGTTAATTTATTAAAGATATTGCTAATTCATACAATATCTAAAATTACCAAAGCTAAAAGCAGCCTTATCTATGATAATTTGGTGGGCATTGACAATGGGTGACTTTGCATGAGGGGCACATAATATGATTCAGGGCTCAAGCATATGAAGCCCTTTTCTTCCTCTAAAGGATTTGTTGAAAGAATGAACCTGAAAGCTGAAAAACAAAATTAAAGCTGACTGATAGTACTTAGATTTTAGCAACCGCATCCTTTTCACCCTTATTTACTAGCTAAAGCTGTTAAATCTCCACAATATTTGACCGAATCTCTGAATCTTCGACCGATGTACACGTTTCAAGGATCTCCATTACATGCCACTCTCCATCCAGCACTTTGTGCTTCACCACGCATTTCAACTCTTCTTAATACTACCTGTCTACCTCTTCTCTTCACCAAATCGATGCTGGCTCACATAATCCTCTACCTATTTTCTCAATTCAACACCAGAAGCTTTTGATTTCGTTTCCCCTACACTACTGGCCAACCCAATCTAAATCCGTATTCATTTCAACTTTGTTGTCATTGCTACTAGTCTTGTGATTCCAGTACTCTGAGCATTGATGGTTCGGATCAAGAGCTTCAATAGCCTGGAAGATGGCAATTTGTTAAGAAATATACAACTGAATTCGATTGTCACAACTAAAACTGACAAGACAAAAATTTATGTCAGTATGCTAGCTGTTCAGGTAAATGCATGCTTCAAATGATAAGAATTTAACAATATCAAAAGGCTTGGACAAATTGTTAAGTTCAAAATATTATGGAAGTGATGCTGGAACATGCTAAGGATTAATATGTAATATTATCTCATCATCAGATTTCGTAAGCCGTATTCCAGTATCATGATAAGAATGATAACGATCATATTTGTCAGCAAAGATATTCAAGTAAGATAATCACCATCAGGGATGACATTAGTTCATTTGCTCAACTGTCAAACTTGAAAGATTTCAATAAGTTGAAACCTTGTTCAATAGCTTAAAATAGAAGAAGGGCGACTAAGCAGTCTATGCTATAAGACATGCATTAGCAACTTTATCGTGCTGCCTCAGGACAAAATAGATGTCATTTTAGATGTAATTATGAGAAAGCATCTAACTACCAGTCAAATTAATCAGATTAATTTTTAAAATGGCTATTATACCTTAATTACGGGTGGTGAGAGAAATCCAAACATTTCAAGTCCATTGACGATCTTCGGTGATTGTAAAGGAAGCATGCCTCTTCCCTCAAGATTGCTCCTTAAAATTTTTTGGTTTAGTTTCTGCACCACCATTTCCCAGCATTTTTCCACCGACACATCTGCAAAGATCACAGTGGGGCAACCTTCTAAAGTGACCTGAAATATACAATAACGGGTGTAAGGAACATAAGGTTGTACAAGCAAGCTAACTCAGTGAAAAATCTTCATCGACTACTCTTGGTTGCTTGTAAACTTATATGTCAAATACTGTTATGCTCTTTCTCTGTCTATCTGATTTATTTTCTTTTCCCATTTCTCCTTTTTTTTCCTCCTGATTTTGGCTTCTGTTACCCCTTGAGTGATTACTGGAGTTTTACAAGTGAACCTTTATGCCCAAAGTAGACAAGCAGTAGTCTCACCTTAAATAGAGGTCCACTGAGCCCAGCATCTACGACTTCTGAGATGTAGCTAGAAGTCTCTGTTGGGTTGATAACACTAAAGAACTTAACACGACTTCTAAATCCTGTAAAAGTCAAGCATGACTATGAAATCCTTCTACTGGCAAGAAAGACGTGATTAAATAGTAAACTATCGGATCAAACTCCACTGTCATGTACCTTTTGGGAATATGGCCTGCTTGCTGCACCATTGCTTTCCGAACACGACAGATCCGAAATTTAAAGGTTCCACAGAAGAATTCAACAATGGATCTCCTCGGGCAGCAATAGATGTGTTTACATCTGAGCTATTGGCAGTTGCTGTCTTCAACAAGGTATTAGGTTTTCCTGGATATGGAAACTGATGTTCAACGCTAAGCAAGTTCTTGCCATCAAAGCCATCAGAATCCAAAGTAACACTTGAAATTGAATGCTGATACTTGTTGGGAGAATCTCGAGAAACTGATGATGGGCTACAATCACTTTTGATTCTTTTTAGAACAGGTTCTCTTACTTCATCAAAGCCACACTCATGTTTAAAAGAAGGTAAAAATGTCTTCACATCACTCTTGTCATTAGGGCTATCCAAGGCATTTAACGAGTTGATTGCAGGATAATCAGATATAATACCAAGATTCAACTTCATGCAGGCATCCTGCTCCAAGTTTTTCATTGTAAGGACTTCGATTTTATAGACATTGTTTTCACTATCTATGGTGGCATGAGAAGCTTTTAATTTAGTCCCATGCTGGCAGTCTGATGGCAATACTTCTAGAATGTGACCATAAGAGCACGGAGTACTAATATCCAGCTTTTTTTCCATTCCCCGGAAAAAAGAAAAATCTCCACTTACTCGAGAAGATTCTACTTTTACTACCTCACTATCATGAACCAAATTAGACACATGAGCATCACAACCTTCAATATCTGTGCATGCCCATACTTTAACAGCATCTACTCCTTCCTCCAAAGCTTTTACTAGCATTTTCAGTTCATCAATGGTGTAGCGAAGGAGGACAAATCTTTCTTCAGTTTGGCACGAGCAGAAATACTTTACATGTTTCAGACATGTAAATCGCTCAGGAGAGCAGTTGCAGCTGCAGGCAGACAGATGCAAATCATAGAAACAAGAGAAGCATTCCCTTTCACATTCCAAATCAAATTCTTTTTCCATCTTTCGTAAGGGTAAGTGAGGTGGAAGGCAATTCAATCTTTCCTCCTCCATCTGCACTCTCGCCTGTTAACAGAGTGGTAATGTTACATACATTAATTAGTATACATAGTGGCAAAAGACATTTTTCACTTTATCATGTGCACGTGCATTTAAATAAGATAATAAAAAAAGTATCTCTTTTGTCAGTGTGGGAGGGAGGGGGGAGAGGAGTGGAGAGAAAAAAATCTACCCTAACAGCCTTTGTAAGCATTCCATCCTTTCCACAGACATGTTTCCACCTCAAATTTCCTGGAGTTTCTCTGCCAGCAAAAAATAACTCCCTGAGAGCTTGGATGGCTTGCCAAGCTGCTCCTAGGAGGAGCTTGTCATGGGACAGCGATGTCCTGCGATGCTGGTCACTGTAGAGCCCCACTGCATGTTGACCATGTTCTAGCCAATCAACAGGAGCAACATTCACAGCCTCCGCACAGTTGAAGCCACAATTAAATCCAGAGTGATATGCCCTTGGAAAGGTAAGAACAAACTCCCCAGAACATTGTACAGCTCGATAGATTGGTACACCCTCACATTTTAGAACAGATGGAGAAAACTGAGTAACCTGACCAAAGATGAATTGCAAAGTTTATGCAAGCTAATTGAATATAAAAATAAATAAATAAATGTGATAGGAGTGAATGACAGGGAACAGATACAACATCTAGGAAAAAGTAATGAGATTCTTAAGATACTTAAAAATCATTTCATGGGCATATTTGTTCTTACATTTCAATTATAGACGATTTAATGGTGTTCTAATCAGTAGCCTTTGGTTAAAGACGCTGTAGGTGAATATGTATGAATATCACCAAGTACCAACACAACGGACCTGGCTCTCTAGGATTACACTGAAAGATACAGTTGCACAATCAGATCAGGATAACTATCTGTTTAGACTATGAATAAGAATAACATTTACACAAAACATAAACTGCCTGCTGAAAAAGCAACCTAGATGCATTTCTTTCTTGTAACTGATTCTCTTAGATCCCTTGATGTCTTGGAACCCAAGGTCCAACATTTTTACATCTATGACCTATTTAGATTGGTAGACAACAGAGAGCGTGTTCCAGTGTTTAAAATACTACAACTTCTTTAACATTCTTAAAACGTATAAATTTGCAGCTAAGCAGGATGAAGGTGCTATTGCCAATTTAGTTTGAAAATACTCATTCCTCATCATCAACCTGATGTGAAACCAAACATCGCTGAAAGAAGCAATGAAAACTGTAGAAAATATGCAAAATCCAACCAATAAATAAAGAAAAAAGTAAAACAAATGTCTCACCAATTCATGGAGCAAGTCTGGTTGTTCTTCAAACAAATCAGGGAGATGCTTTCTCAATGCAGCCTCCAAAGTGGAAGCATGGTTTCGAGGTACTCCATACCATATTTTTGGATCACCCCAGTGCATATAGTTCAGGGAATACAGATGGTGGTCCTCAACATGCTGCTTGAATCATAATACAGTACAAATGAGTGAAAAAAAAAATAGGCATGGATCACTATTCAAATTGTCAAACATGAGTAGCCACTTTTTACTCCCCCTTTCATTTCTTTCTACACATAACAAATAGGCATGGATCATTAATTGGATGTTTATAATAATAGAAAGATGATCAAAATTTCAGACCTAAAACACAAAGAAGGAATAAAGGTGGAAAAGTGATAACTTCTGAAAGGGAGTTATTTCCTTCCCTAGTCCGTGCATTATAACTCTATTTCTAGCTGTTTTTATGCCTTACCCAACAAAATGACGAGAAGCACATCCCCACATAGAGCCATGGCACTATAACTCCAGATATATCACATCCTTCAAAAGATAACACAGAACCTTGTAGGCGTGGGAAATTATTTAGGTTCCAACCTGACGTTGTGTATTTATCTGCATCATTTCCAGTTAATGTAGCTGATGCCTTGGGAAACCCACTGCCAAAAGTTCCTGTTTCCAGGTCTGCCCCATAGTATACCTGCGATAAGATAACAAAACCCAGTAGAAGTAAACAGACACTTCCATGAATGAAATCTTGAAGGGAGCGGAGCAACTTGATGACTATATTCCATACCTCCACCTCATCGGTTGATTGCTCAACTATCTTCCAGTATTCACCTTCAATATCCTCCCAAGAAGGTTCCCATTTCGAGTATTCAACCACACCAGGCTTTGAATCCTTATCACAGTCTCTCTTAAAGTATGTTACCTTAAATTCTTTTGCATATCTCTGAAATTCTTCAAGTGTGAAGTCGGATCCTGAACTGAAGCCAAACTTCTCATTGCTCTCAGAAGTAGATTCTACACTAGAATTGGTGCGTCTTCTAGTGGCTTCGATTCTTGAATGCCTCCTCCGTCTACTTTTTCGGCTTTTTCTTTTCTTTCTCATTGGCTCCCTATTTTGAAGCAAGTCAACTTGCTGAATTCGTGTTGAAAATTTAGCATGTTCCCATATATCTTTCTCTTTAAGAGGACAAGGTGGAGTCCAAGAAGGTGGTGGAACAATCCGACATATACCAAACGATTCAGCTTCTTCGCGAATCTTTTCTATGTAGGCAATTGTGTCTTCAAACTCCTAGTAAATGGGAACATCATAAACTCTAAGTTTCAGAAGGAAATATTGGGGAAAAATAAAACAAAAATGTTTACAACAGACTTTTACTCTTAAAAGAGAAGATTACCTCAACAGTAGGATAAAAGACTGGAGCATCATCAATGGAAGGCCTACATGCTTCATCAGGGTCCCATCTTGCCGAAACCTAGAATTGACCGGCAATGATTTCATAAAGCAACAGAATTTAGTAGGACAAAGCTGAAGAGTTATCAGACAGTTCCTACAATGTATCCAAATGCGGAGCACTTTAAATAAGATAAATTATGTTTCTTGCTGCAAAAGTTTAGGTCTTAACACTTCTTCTAGGACATTTATAACTTCAGCCTTTCAGGTATCATGCAAATATGCTCATCCACTAACTTCTGAATTACACATACTTCAACAAAAAATTTGAAATGACCATCAAAATCCATGCAGAAAATCTAGACTCTGCTTAGATTCAAAATGCCTACTTCGAGATGATGTTTTTTAACATAGAAAAAACATAAATTATTTATTGTCAAACTACTGCAGTAGAATATATATGTCACAGAAAGAAGCCGTTTTAGCCTATTTGTTACATTGAGTCCGCTCAAAACCATGCTAAATTACCTTTCGACTTTGAGGACTGCTGGATGGCTCAATATTATCTCTTTTCATGGAATGTTGTGAAGAGTGGTCCTGCAAATAATCTTTTGTTAGAAATTCATATATTTTATGTTTCATAACCTTAGCTTGAACCAGATGTATTCTAAAATTAAAAACATAATGACAAATCGGATTGGAAATGACATAATCCATGTTAACAAAGTAAACACATGCAAATATTAAAACTCAAATTTAAATGCATACAAATATATGTCCTTATATTCATGCATTCATATGAACAAAAGAAAGATATGCATACTGACAAGAACAAAAACAGTACCAACTCAACAATAGCTCCTTCCCTCAATACAAACAACACACAGCATCAACCAATAAAAAGAAGATAGCGAAAATGGAGTATGCCCTGGTTCTAACACTCTTTAAATCTCACTTGCAGCTACAGGTAGTCAATTTGATGAGAGGCAGTTGCAAAAAGTCACTTTGAAACAACTTAAGAACCATATCAAGAAATCAAGTTGAGGACTCCTAACGAAAGTTCAGGAGAAAGTTTCCAGATGCGGATATACTATCCATGATCCGTTTTATAACAATTTGATCGTTGGTCTTGCCTTCTAATATGAGAATAAGTAGCCATTGTTGCTGGCAACTTGTTATTGATTTCAGAATTCATTCATGATAAGGATTTTCTGATAACTTATGCTATTGTTTTCCCTCTACATTCCTAAGGATTAGAAACCTGGATCCATTCTGAATCAACAAGAAGAATTGTAAATACAATAAAGTGATAGATATGAGTTTCCACAAAAGATTTCATATATACATGAAGAGAAAAATAAGTGAAGTAGTTCCATGCAACAATCAAATTAATAAAGTCATAATCGATGCTGTAGAATAGATGATTCAGAATGTAGTGTTTTATTATATTAATTCCATCTGTTTTAAATCAAAAGAAGATAAAACTTTAATCAACACTGATCATAACTGAATGATCCGATGAACACAAAACATTATGAACCAAGATTACCATAATGCCTATAAATATTCACTTGAAACATCACCTATTTATTAAAAGAATAAAAAAACTACTTTCAGAAAAAGAAAAAAAAGAAACATCATTTGTATTTGATGTATGAACGCTGCAGATTTTAATAAACAGATCTGCACATTTAAGAACACAGAATAAAAATGTATGAACAAAAAAAAGTGATAATCTAACCTATTTGAATAAGAATCTGCTACTATTTTCAGCTGTGTTTGGGGGGTTTTAATGCAGTGAAAGAACTAAATATACAAAAATCATAAAACTTGTCAAATGTGCCAAAAACAAACCCTAATTCTCAGCACAATTTCACCGTAACTCTGAAACAAATACAAGCGATTTTTTATCCTTCTTTTGTCAAAATCTTAAAGGAAAAACAATAATATTTTTTCTTGGTTTTTACTATCCAACTCATTTTCTTTAAATTATCCAGAACTAAATAGCATTAACTAGAATTTTAATAATTTTCAATTAATTACTATTAAAATAATTCTTGTAATCGAGGCTTTTTATCTAATAAAATATTCTTAAATATTTATTTTATCGATTTAACGTTCTTTCCTAATTATTTATTAAAATAATATTTTTATACTGACCATAATAAAGATTTGTTTTAAATTAAAGCAATCTAAATAATAAACGATAACATAAAATTTATTTCAAATTAAAGTAATGCAAAAACTGATTCATGATTTATCTATTTATTTACTATCAAATGAATTTTCCATTTTTTTTCTAAACGGATGACAAAACTTCCGATTTCAAATAGGGTTTATTTGTTCAATAAAATCTTAAATAATTATAAATATTAAGTACAATGGTGAAAAATATTAATATTATTATAATATATAATTATAAATTTCTAATATAAAAAATATTTGATTTAAAATTAAAATATAATAAAAGAACAAAGCTATCTAAATATATATAAATAGAAAGAGAAAGTGGAGTAGAAAACGCGAAAACCCAAACGCACGCAGTATTAAACGGAATCCGGCAAACGATCAAACCACCCACGGATTTTCCTTTGCTTGTCTTCTACTCCACCTCTACTATTTTTATTGGGTAAATCACATCCAAAATCATGAAATTATGAATTTATTAATGAACTTTTCACTTAATTATATGATACTTTATTGTCAAAATTGAAATATGTATGTTAGATAATAAATATTTTACTGAATTAAGTTATAAATATATTATTTTTATTGATAAAATAAAACGTATATATGATAACAATTTTAGTCTCAGGAATTATATATTTTATTAATTTTATTCTAATTTAAAATAATTCAATAAAATTAATTAATTATATTTAATTTTTTATCAATTTAATCCTTTTTATGATGTTGTCAATCAAATAATCTCATCTAATCAAAGCATTAATTAAATAATATTATGTCATAAAGCAGCGACAAATTTATTTTAGGGTAATTTATGTCAAATACCACTCATCTTTATGCCCGGGATCAAAAATGTCACTGACGTTTCAATTTTGCCAATTTTAGCACGGACGTTTATGTTTCACTTTAATTTTGCCACTCCGCTGTTAATCTGTTAACGACACAATGACATTGCATGGATGGTCATGACGGCGATGACATGGACGACTTTTTTAAAGTTATTTAGTCCACGTAACATCTGTATTACCTGAGAAAAGTTATGTTTTTGACTCTATAAAGTGTTTAATGAGTTAGCAGGATTTCAACTGGGAAGCAAGGAGTACAAAAAGAAGGATTCGCCCAAGAAAATGGCAATAGCTCTCTGTAACATCCGCAATACCAGGTTAGTGACTAAATTGTAAAGTTTCAGAATTTGGTGACTAAAGTAGAAGAATGAAATAGTTCAATGATTTATGTTGAAATATTACCTAAAAGATGTTAGTAATTATAAGGTGAATAAAGGGTCATTTGCAATGAAAATATTTAAATATGATTATATATATTTAACACGTGGAAGGGAAGAGGAAACAAAGTGGTTTCCATAATTCTCTTCATCTTTCTTCTTCCTCCTCCCGTATCTCCAAGCTCAAAGGTGAGTTTCTTTGTTTATGGATTAATTGTTGATTTTAAGGTTGAGTTTTGATTATTAGATGATAACTAAGCTTAATGAAAGCTTAAGTTATCTTAAAATCAAAGTATGAAGGAGTTAGGAGGGATTAAAGATTTGAGGTTCTTGGGTGAAATCTTGAAATAGAGTTCATAACTAGAGTTGGAAGTTAAATTTGACTTGTCAAGGGTCTAATTAAGAAGTTAGAAGCCATAGAATTAGAATCAGAACATATTGCAAAGTTGGTTTAATTCTTGAGTTACATATGAGGAATAGAATTTTGAAGTTAAAGATGGTTTATATGGATATAAATTGGTTTAAGCATGTGTATATGAGTTGAGAACATGAAAGGGGATGAAAGATGAAGCATTTGAGTTGATTTGAGTAGATTTTCGGGCTTAAAAATGAATTATGGGCTATGTGCATCGATGCACATTCAATGTGCACCGATGCATCAAGGGTAAATTTCCAGAAATTGTTCAGTGTGTATCGATGCACATGAAGTGCATCGATGCACCCCTTAAAAATAGAAACATCGAATGCAATTAATGCATCGATGCATAAGGAGTGCATTGATGCACATGTCAAGGGATGTATCGGTACACTGTAGAATGCATCGATGCACTTCAAGGGGAAATTGAAATAGATATTTCTTTTGGTCTAAGAAATGATAGATTAGAGTATATCAATTAGATATTGATATGTATCAATGTATGATTATGTAGATATCGAACATGAACAAGTTTCAGAACAATTATCAAGTTAAGATTCGATCGAAAGAGAGAAAATCATAAAAGTGGATTGGAACTTAGTGAGGCCAAGGTGAGTGCATATTATTAGATTGTGTATATTATTATAGGAAAATTAGACTTGTGATAAGTCTGTTTCTAATGTTTTATATGTTTGCATGAATAGATGCATGATTAAGTTTGTATTATGTGTATATGTTTTGTTCATATTATATGTTATGAGGTGTGAATTTATATGATATGGGTTATATGGAAATGAAATATGTAACTATATGTGAAATAAGTTATAAGCATGAATAATGTATAATAGTAAATGTTGTATGTGATAACCATAGAAAGAAAATAAGTTAAGTGATCATGAACATGTAAATATATGTTTAGATGAAGATATAATAGAAAAACATAAATTACATGAGTCAAGTTTATGGAAACTATTATAATTTACTTATAGTATTCAATGAAAAGTGAGATAAACTAACTAGCATTGATTTATAGGACAATATGAAAATAGAATATCAATTAGGAGATCTGTACATAATGATAATCATATAGAGATAAGCTGTATGAGAAAGATTAATGTGCTTAGATGAGCTATGATATAGAAATTACATGGTAAAGATCTATGAAGTCATAGGAAAAGGTTATAAGAGTAATGTAAACTTGAATTAAGAATATAAGAAATTTGTATATAAATGAATTTATATGAGTGATATATGTTAGTATGCTACAATATATGTTATAGGATCTATGTGATTAAGTACAAATGTGATATCCATATATGATAATGATTTGTGAAATTGTATGAAAATGTGATATGATCTACGAGATAATAAATCATGTGAATTATATGGAAGTGATTTATGTGAACATGTCTGATATGTCTTACATGATATGTATGATTTCACAAGAAATGATATGAGCTATGTGATTACATGATTATAAGAGATCAGACATGCGATAAGAGATAAGTGTTATGAATGTGTGAATATGAAATGACATAAATAATAATGCCCATGTTATGTGTCATGAGAGCTAGGGGTATAGTTGGCATGCCAAGAGTCGAGGGTCTACGCGGTTCTTCGGGATATATATGTATTCCTTGGAACATGTGTGATGTCTTTTGAGACACATACTTGAGCCTTTGTATATGTATATGATTCTTAAGGAATTTTCTATGTGGTCCTTATGGACATTTTATATGGCACTTCAGTACAATTCTACGTGGCACTACGGTGCATTTCTACGCGACACTTCGGTGCATTTATACGAGTTATGGTGACAACATTTGTGCACAACCTCTATAGACTCACATATCTATAGTTCTCACATGTGTACATGGGCTAATAAAGAAATAACAATAAACATATTACATGTGACTTGTATGTTTTTGTGCTATGAATTGTATTATATGATTTATATGATGATATGTGGATTGTATGATTAAATGAGTCAAATGTTGGTTAAAATACTAGGTATAAGAGGATATGTACGAAGTGAGATAAATAATAATGATATTGATAATGAAATGAGGCTAATGATGGAAATTATGAGTATATGTGTGTATATATATGTTCTTACATGTAATGATATATTGCATATATGTTATAGGGATTTGTTACATGAATAAGGGTATGAGTGATAGCAGTAATAGTTCATGTATGATTACAAGTTATAGTTTACATTACATGTTTATTTGCCTCACTAAGTCATAGACTTAGCGTGTGATTGTTTCACACGTAGGTTACAAAAGCGAGAAGAGAAGCTAAGAAGAGCAAAACATGTCAGCATCTCCCTTACAAAATTTCAGATCAGAAAATAGATGATTTAAATGTGTTTGGTTAATTTGAATATAGTTGGCATGTACTAAGTGATTGAGTTGAATATGCTCTGATCGATTTTGGTTATTTTGGCCGATTTATGCAGATAAATCGCTTTTATTTTAATGGAAGTTTTAAATTTTCTTTGAATTTTGTCCAGTGTCAAAGTTTGAAAAGTCAATGTGACACCTCAGACTCGTATCCGGGTCGAGTACGGGGTGAGGGTTTTACACTCTCATTCTTGCTTGCTCTTCATTGGCTGCAATTATCTCTTCTTTGTTTTGTTTAAGGGTTTATTACAGTAAGAATTCACACAAATCCACCAGAAATGATGGGAAGATCTCAGGTATATTCTTTTCACCCCATTCTGTTTCAGTTTTTCTTCATAGTTCTGAGACTTTGAGAGTTAGGGTTAAGAACTGATGCTTATTTTCCCTATGTTTCCCCTTCTTTATGTGGTTTTGGATTTGAAGATGCTGAAAAAGGGGCTGGACTGACACCATTTTTTGGTAAATTCAAGCCTACAATGACAGTTTCTAAGGAAAATAATGCATCATTCATGGATTATAAAGTGCTTGAAAAATCTACAGACAAGTTTCATCAAGGTAATATTCTGGGTGAGGATGGATTTGGGTGTTTTTACAAGGCTTAATTCGATGATGGTTCTTTTGCTGCTGTTAAGAAGTTGGACTGTAAAAATCAGGATGCAGAAAAAAAATTTCAGGTATTATTAAAAAAAATTATCAGCCCTTTTTATGTGTTTTCAAGGATTTCATATTCATTTTTTATGTTGAGTTATATTGTATGGAATTGCAGAATAAGGTGGATTTGCTACGTAAATTTAAGCATCCCAACATAATATCATTGTTGGGTTTCAGCAGTGAAAGTGAATCAAGGTTTATTGTTTATGAATTAATGCAATGGTTCCTTGGAAACTCAGATACATGGTAAGCACTCTCTCCCTCTTCGACTCTCATGAACAACTTAAGAACTCACCAATATAAAAGGATATATGTTAATTATTGTTTCTGGAAAATTTTAAATTACATCTCAGGGGTCTTTATTAACATGGGATAGAATGATGAAAATTGCTTTGGATACAACAAGGTAAGGCTTTATTTTCATTTTTACTTATTCCTCTTGGTTAATGACGATGGTTTTAAAAATAACACTGTTGACCAGAGGATTAGAGTATCTGCATGAACATTGCAACCCACCAGTCATCCATAGAGATCTGAAATCATCAAATATTCTTTTGCATTGAAACTTCAACTCGAAGGTAACGATTATGCTGCTTTCCATTTCGGTCTTGTATTATCTATTAGAGCTCACTTTCTTTCCATTTCGTCTTGATACATCTCTCGGATTTCGGTCTTGCAGTAACCGATACAGCCCATAACAAAAATAATCTAAAGCTTTCGGGTACTTTAGGTTATGTTGCCCCAGAATACCTTTTAGATGGTATATAAGCTAAATCTGAATTATATGTCATGTTGTGCAAATTATCTGAAAGTGTTATCTGGTGTTTTTTGTAGGTAAATTAACATATAAGAGCGATGTGTATACATTTGGTGTTGTGCTGCTGAAACTTCTATTGGGAAGAAAGCCTATGGAAAAACTGGCACCAGCTCAGTGCCAATCTATTGTCACAACATATTCATTATTGAACACATGCCATGCCTCAGCTTACTGACATATCTAAACTCCCAGACAACGTGGATCCTGTAATACGAAATACAATGGATCTAAAACACTTGTATCAGGTTGGTAAGCTATTGTCTTTGTTTATAAAATTGCCAGTTACATCATACAAGTCTGGCTGGTTATGGTTAGGTAGGAATGAGTGAGCTTAGAACCCATTTATTCCTTTCACTTAGGAATGTTTTTAATATTTTAATATTAAAACTTTTATAGAAAACATAATAGAAGAATATAATGTAGTTCAATGGTTAAGCATTCCCTTTAATTTAAGGGATTTAGGGTTCAAGTCCCTATAGTTACTTAATATTTCAATAGTTTTTTCAAGCAAAACGGGTGTCATTTTGTCTTTATTGAGCATCAAAATAGTTGTGTTGAAATGACGTCGTTTTGGTAAGCCGTCCACGTCATCACCGTCACGGCCCGTCCATGCCATATCATTGCGTCGTTAATGGATTAACGATAGAGTGGTAAAATTGAAGTGAAACATAAACGTCCGTGCTAAAATTGGCAAAATTGAAACGTCAGTGGCATTTTCGATCCCGAGCATAAAGATGAGTGGTATTTGACATAGATTACCCTTTATTTTAAATTGTTATTATACCAGAAAAGTAACAAGAAAGTAATATAACATTTATAGAGAGAAGAATAACGATTGAGATGATAATTTTTTTTTTAAATATTTAGGTTAAATTCATTGAATTGTTTTTGAATTAGGACTAAATTGATAAAATATATAAATTTTAAGGATTAAAATTATTATTATATCAAATCACATCACTATTCTTTTTAATATTTAATGATAAAGTGACATGTTTATAACAATATTTTAATTGAGTGATATGTTTGTAACTTTTAAAAAATAAATCTCCTATTTATTATCAATCAGATAATTGACTTTGGATGTAATTTATTTATTTTGTGTTTCATATATTTTTGGATAACAATATTGTAAAAATAATTAAATCATACAATTATTAAAATTTTAGATCTTTATGGAATAATAACACTGTAGAAATAATTAAATAATAAGTTCATTGATTTATTAAAATTTATATAAATATAAAATAAATGAATACAATAATTGCTAAGTTTATCAACACCATCATTTCAAAACTATCTTCAACTAGATTTTCCTCTTTACTTCTAGTCAGGATCAAAATACACTGAAAAAAAAACTAAAGCTGAAATTCGTGGTTTTATGGAGAGTCTTTCTTATATAATCTCTAGTTCTTGATCTCAATACTTACTATTTAATTCTTTGGTTTTATGTAGATTGTTTCTGCTAATTATAACATTATTAATAGCATTGATGTCAAAACTCAAGCGATATTGATAAAGGTGTTGTTTTATAAATTAAAAAAAATAAGTGTTGAAAAATCAAATGTTTTTAATAGTATGAGATGATGATTAAAAGGTAATATTTGTTCATAGTTTTTCTTAAGCATTGACAATATACACATACCATGTAGACATAGTTGCTTGAACCTAAAATCTTAAAGGAGTATAACACTCCCTTTAACCACTAAAATTACTTAATAAGTTCAATTAAATGTTGAATTTAATTTAAAACTATATTTTATAATTTTCTATTTAATATAATCAGATTATTTGAATATAAAAATTTGAAGGTAGTGGATCCGTATCCCCCCCCCCCCCACAAGAAAAGGAGTACAATTTCTCATTAACATCATAGACCATGAGAATTATGTAGGCCAAATAGTTGGGTAGTGGATCCGTATCCCCCCCCCCCTCAAGAAAAGCCGAAAAGGTAAAGAGAGAGAGAGGAATTGAACTAAGGCCGAGAAGATATGGCAATGAATGATGCACATTTTGCATACATGTGAACATTATTTCACTTTCGCAAATCATATCATCATATAAGGATAGATATAAACGAAACATTTCCATCTCTCACACACAATGTACAACACACATTTCCATACCTCATCATGAGCAGCGACACGGACATAGATAATGGACAAAATTTAATGATAATATACACAACTAATTGCGTGCAATCATAACCATGTTTGTTTTCATTCTCCACAAATAAAAAAAAATCACTGGATCATTTTTTGTCGGTTGTTATGCCAACCACCACATTGCTCACCTGCAATATCATAATTTTGTATCAGTCAATACTTTTTCTTCCCCGCCCATGTTCCATCTTTAATATCATAATAAAAGTTCGTGACAACGAAGAACACACAACGTAAATATGTGCAGTTAAACTATATTTACCAATTTGCCACTCTCATCAACAGACGTGGGATTCTCGACAACAACTGTTTGGCTCTGAGCACAAGGCATCAGTCAAAAGGTTAGATTCAGGTAAACGTCAGTAACTCGAAACCATCTACATTTTAAAGGAAAAAAAATGATATCAAACTTCAATAACTTACTGTCGAAGTAGATGGTGTAGTCCCTGCAGCATTTGGTCTGCTTGCCGCAAGTGGGAACCTTACGTTGCCCATCTGAAACATAGATGAGAAATAGAGTGAGTAGGTAAATCACCAAATAGAGGTTCTCTAAACATAAATACATATACTATGTATTTCAATAACGCCGCTGTTGCTCAAAAATATTTATTGCATGGGCATAATAAGTAAATAAATAAGTACTTATCCTTCTGATTAAATACAATGCAATTCACTTTCAAAAGGGGAAACATGCCCCAAAACAGCTTATGAGAATCAACAATGTGAGGTATTCGACAAGGTACAATCATTGCTTTGTGAACATCATGTTAAAGAAGAATTAATTTGTCTAGTAAGAATAAGCAAAATCTTGCATATTTGAGAAATAAATCTCCCAATCCATTAATAGGGTGGAAATGGCCGGGGTACCAACTAAACTCATCCAAAACCTGTTTCAGGAGAGGTAACAGATCCTCTTTCCACTATAAATGATTTTGGCCTGAATCAACCTATAACTATGCTGGGGAAAATATGACCAAGTTTGAGAGATATTACCACCAACTTGAATTATTGAGAGAGAGAGAGAAGGTATGTACAGAAGACTCATAAACAAGAAAACATAAGAAGTTCGCAACAACCGCATGCAAACCAAATAAATGGATACATTCAGAAATAGACCAAATAGATTCAGTGATATTGAGAAGAATTTAAAGATTTTGAGATTGAAAAAAACATGGGGCCTTGTATCACAAAACATGCAATAAATATGTTCAATATCAATGATAGATGCACAAATGAAAAGTTATGTCAATTCAATCAAACACTTACGCCAACAATAGTAACATATTGACAAACAGCACATTTGACTGATGGAGCTCCATATGGATACATTAGTATTGTACGGCAGTTCCCGCAGTTGATGTGAGCTATCTGGTTGGATGGTGCTTTTTTCAAGGAAATGAGACCCAAGAAGAGAAAAGAAAGAAAAAAACAAGGCCAGTAAACAAGCCGGGGACCATGAAATTAAAAAAGGGTAGGAAAAAATGAATAACAAACATTTACAACAAATTGTTGCCAGGCAGCCTGGAAATGCACTGATAAAAGATTAAACGAGGAACCAAAGAAGAAAATACAGTATAGTCCATACTCACTCCCAAAGTTCATAGAAGATATACAACCTCCAGTATTCAAATTAAAAATTACACTTCGAGAAAAGACATAACCAAAGTCCAAAATGATCAGGCTGCTTTCTATAAAGAAACATATTAAGATAATCTGGTTACTGAAATAGTTTAAATGCCGCAAACAAAGCTATGATTAACAACCACAAACACAGCCTAAAAGCGCATGCCGCAACTGAAAAAGATCCACAGCCACAGAAAACTGAATTGGCGTCCTAAATGATTAAAAATACGATGTATGCATAATTTGATTAGAACAGCCAATAATCCAGATGGCAGACAAAGTTTGGAAACATTCTAAGATCTTTAACTACTCAAAGTAAGCTCAGATTGCTAGTAATATAAAATGATAATATAAGATGGTAAAAAAAAATCATCCACGTGGAGCACATTGTGACACATTAAATACAGGAGGGGAAGCGCTAATCAAAGAACTAAGCGACTTTCTTTAACTTGTTTACATTTCATAAAAAGTAGAAGGAACACAGAAGCATTAACATTTCATCAAAGCCCAAAAATGACTTTCCATTTAATAGCAACAATTTTGTAATTCCGAACATTATTACCACAAATATCATTTACACAAACCAGTATATTATACCTGTCGCAAGGTTGACGGTGTTACAGCAAGAGCATCTTACACTTGTTGCTCCACATGTATACATTAGCAATGTTCGACACCCTCCACATATGAGTTGAGTCATTCCCATCCCTGCAGGGTTAATTTAAAAACTTGGATTGTCAAGCCATAAGATTCTTAGCTGACATTTAACTGATTTACATATCTAGATAAGAGGAATGTTACTGGCCACCCTACATTATTGTTTTCTTTGCCTTAAGCTAATCTTTTATTTCTGTAAAATATTCTATGTAACACCACAAGCATTAAAAGCATTACCAGATAGTTTCAAACTATACATCAATCAAGGCAACCAAATGAAAAAAAGGAAAAAGAGAACTCATATAAAAATAAAATACAGTAGCATTGCAATCAGACATCTGTAGAAAGGACCAGGATAGTGCCAAGGGTACTGCCATATTGATTGGCAGATTATCACCCTGCAATCAAAGATTGTCATGAATTATCTTACTATGTTGTTCTAAAAACAAACCTTTGGATATTATGGTCCAAAATCCGGTACCACATTGATGCCCAAGTACCAAACTAAAGGAAGTTAACATGGCCAAAATGCCCAAATGATATGTGTAACAACCTTGATATGGGTGGGCTACAATCAAACCAAGTTGAATCGTAGATCTGAGCAGCTTTCCAAGATTCGTACTTCCAGCAGTTTCAATGGAGTATGGTTCAGGGACCATAAAATAGTTTGACGTTTGTTTGGAGTGCTCATGCAATTCAAACTCCAATAAGATAACATCAAAATCTCAAAAAAAAAAAAAGAAGAGCAGTAAGTTCTCACTAACAAACTGTAACAAGTTTGATTTTACTATGTTTTGTTATCAAGTTGAATTGAATTTAGTGAAATCGATGCTTCACTCCAAAAGTTAACAAGTCAGATTATCGAACTATACTAAATAGAGGTATATATTGCATGTTAGCTTCTTTTCTATGTTATTGAGTTTGAGAAATGTAACTGTCAGACACGAGTGCCGGACATAGATACTTCATGAAAAATGCAGAGTCCGAGCATCATATCTAACTAACATAAGTCAATTACAAGTAAGACAATACATTCTAATAAATTCCATTCAAGCAAACTTGTAATATAGCTGTTGTGTGCAGCAAAATGACAGATTAAATCTAACCGTAAGTACAACAAAAACCCAGCTCCATCATTTGTACCACTCAATTCAATTCTAATTTCAGCATTTAAAACCAATGAACAATTTTTTGGCAAGGGGAACATGCAGAAAATTTTCAAATAAGATTCTAGCATAATTTAAAAACGGGGTCCATTGGATCTCCATTGTATTGATAACCGAAGTCATCATTTAGTTAATGAAGAAGCACAGTAGTTTCTAATACGACTATTTGAAGCATAGTCTAAATCACTTGGTCAAATATTAAGGGGTGAAAAGAAACCCACAAAGCCAAGTATTCCTACATAAAGTAGTTCCCAATGCCACTCACCTATATAGATAGCCCGGAAAATAAGAGAACAATTTGCTAATTTTATGATGCAGATCTCTTTTGAGTTTCCGTAATAATAAGCATGTTCACGTTGAAGATACCGACAACTAGCAACTGTTCACAACTTCAGAAAACTGATGGTTGATTTTAAATGTTCAATTAGTAAGAATGAGAATTGAAGTTTACCGGGGGAAGGGACTTGGGAAACTGTATTACATAATGCGCAGCAAACATTTGTTGCCCCTCTAGGATAAAGAAGAATGCTCCTACACCCGATACGAACGAGCTGGCTTTGCATATCTGCAGTCATTGTAAAGAATGAAGTAAAAAAGATGGTCATAAACCTGATTATAACAATAATAACAATTTACAAGTGGTAATGCCATTTTTGAGATTCAATATAAAGCATATGATAGTAAAATCGCATCCACACAATCCCGTTATCTCTATGAAGCAACAATCAACATGACATCTAGAGGTCAAAATTCATAACATCCAAAGACACCAAAATTGTTGGTCAAGAGAAATAGAATAGTAATAAAAATGTCTCAAAGGCGAAAGATTCATTTAACAACTAGCATTCAATGGCAACTTAATTAGAGTTCTATCTCAAAGTGCAATAATAGATATACTACAATATGCATTACAATCACTGTAGAAAAAAGGCGAGGTTAAGAATTTGAAATAACAAAATATGAGAAAGAAAAAGAGAAATAGTACTATCTGGTGCACAGTCTTTTCCTTTAATGACTTTTTCCCTTGAAGCATTTTTTTCTCTTTTGTCCTTTCAATCATATAGTAGTTAAAAACTCAGCAAAATTAGTGTATCATTTCTAAAACCCCTTTATTTTCAATGAAACCCTAACATTAGTTTATCAAAAAAGAGAGAGAAATAAACACCCGATTTCCCTTCTTCATCAAGAAACCAATCCCAATTTTTTGAGGAGCAGTCGAATACTTAAAAATTTCTGTCAACAAATTAAAAACAAAAAGTAAAAGTAAATAAGACAAAAATTCAAAAAAATTAGTGATAATAAGGATGTTAACTTTTTACCTTGAAGAAGAAGGAGAAGAAATTGAATACTTGAATATCAGGAAAAAGAAATATTATCAACAGGATAATTCAAATGCTGTGATTTCACAAATATGATTAGATCCGCCAAAATTAGGAATCTTGCAATTACGCTTATTTGTTTTTATTTTCCTTTCTCTTTTAGGAGATTTGGTTGGAATTTCTTTAGAAAATGTCGTTAGGAATTAGGATTCGGCCGGTCTGGAAACGCCGCCAAAGCATAACTCAAAGCATTGCTCCTTGTTCTATCGAGGTTTTGCACTATGACCCTCTATTATTCACTTATTTGATTCTCGACGACCTCATAATTTTATATGTTGCAAACTTGATTTTAAAGTTTTTTTTATCTACTCGGTTCTAAGGTTTCACATTGATTAATTTAAACCAATCCACGTTGCACACCTGATTTTCATGATGAATCTTCTAGCACGAATTTTCTGCATATACAAAAACTTAAACTCAAAATCTTACTTAAACGATATCTCAACACATGCACAAAAAACATGAACTTAAATTTAAAGTATTTAGGTTAGATAAAATTGCATCAAACCGCAATTTCACTTTTGAATGGATAATACTTATTAAAAGATATATTAGGTTCTTTAAATAATTTAAAAATTAAATAATTTTAAAAAATAATTGTATCTTGATTAATTTTGAAAATAAACAATTGAAGATGACTAATCGTATCTTTAATGATTTTATTAATTTTATATAATTTTAGTTATCATGACAATAGACATAATCCTTAATATTTACCTATTGTGTCAATTTGATCTAATTATAAAAAAATCAACACATAATTCACATATTTATAAATGTTGAAAGTTAATTTTTTTAAAATTTTTATAATTAAAATTAACTTGATATAATATATAAATATTTATGATAATTTTATTATTAAGTCAATCATAATTATATAAAATACTATAAATATTAATCTTGTGATTTATTATTCTTATATTCACATTCAAAATTATTAAGAAATCTTATGAAGGTTATTAGATTCGTTGGACGTCACTTTTAATGGAATTTTTTTCTCCTTTGTATATTTGAGTTTAATATTTTTGTTTTATGTTTGAGATTTTTTGTGACTATAATCTTATTTTTCTCACTATATTTGAGTGTGTTGTAATTTTGATTCATTTCATTATTTTAATTAATGAAATCTGGTTGCCATTCTTAAAAAAGAAAAGAAAAAATTATCAAGTACTAAATTATTTTAAAAGTATTTTTTTTAAATTTAAAGGCTTAATATAAAAATAAAAGCTCAAACTATACCCAAAGTTAACTTAGGTGCTTAAAGAATTTTTTATAAAAAATAGGTGTTCAACGTTTTATATGTTACACTTTTAGGCTAACGTTTTCTCTGTTATATATTTAGGTGTTTATTTCATCATGATCATTAAATTCTACCGTTATCTGACACATGTCGGACTATAAAATTTTAAAAAAAAATATTTTTTTTAAAGAATAAAAAATCGTTTTTTTAAAAAAATTACTCTAAAAATTTCTAAAATATAAAAACAACTCATAAAATTTCTAAAATATCATAAAATCCCTAAATTTTATAAACCCCAAAACTGCCGACTATCATTGTCGGTCGACCCCGTCGCAACTATTGCCGTCAATCCAATGGCCATAACGATCATAAACGGTTGTTTGGTGCTAGTGCAGTGGTGCAATGATCGGGTGGACTTGGGTCGCCATCTAAATTATACATACAAAATTATAGTGGGATTTTTGTCGAAACGGTCTTTTAACCCGATGGAAAAAGGGTGGTTCCGCTTCGAAAATGGTATTAGTGTGATTTTTGTGATAAAAACGTGGTTCGTGGAGTCGTCATCAATCTTTTATTAAGGTGTGATTGGGCATCCAAAAATAAATTTATCATTTAAATAAAATATTAATTTTAATAAAAATGACAAACTTGTGGTCTGCGTTACCAAATTTTGAGTTCGGGAGTCGGTTACGTGTGGGGAAGGATTATAACCCCCACAATGCCCTAAATCGGTACTTAGTCGATTAATTAATTGTATTTGCAATAAAATGTACAAGTTTGAGTTTAACTTAATTTAAGATCCCCTAGAATATTTTTTTAATTTTGGATGAAAAATAAAGATATTTAATTATTTCCTATCGAGAAGAATCGATCTATCATACATTGAAGCAATCGATTCTTACTCCAATCGAAATAAAGAAATATTGGAATTACATTCTAAATTTCAAAATAATAATACCTAAAATAATGTTAAGATTGAAAACAATAATATTTAATTATTTCAGATCGAACATTATTATTTTAAAAAACCTTTGAAAACGCATGCCAAAGTTAAATAAATAAATAAATAAACATATCAACCAATTGATTAATTATTTATTTTATCAATATTTAATGAGAAAAAGTATATTCAACTAATTAAATATCGCGAGACGAGACCATAGATTCGATTTAACAGTATTTTCTCGATAAATTTAATTAAAAGAATATGATCTTTTTCTCAATCCCTTACTTTTAAAAATGAATTCAATTTAATAAGTGTCACTTAACAGGATACACTTTTGTTTTAAAATTATCGAAAATAACTTTCTTATACGTTAAGATAGTTACTTTACGACAATATTAAAATGATCGAATATTACCCTTAATTAAATTATTTTGATTCGAGTCTAATGTTTATGTCAAAATTTATTTATGAATTAATGTTTCAAATATATATACATGAAGGAACAAATAACCTACATATAAAATAAATTAAAAATTTTAATTCTATGCAATAAATTCAAACGTATATAGATTATAAACACATGTATATACAATACAATTAATGCTATATGAAGTAAATATTTAAGTAAATGCGAAGAAATTTTAATGGTTATATATTAAAAAAATTAAATAAATATTATTCTTTAATTAAATTATTAAATTAATTAAATTAATTAACATAATTATTTTTAAAAAAGTTAAGAAATATAATAAATATTTAAAACAAAACCAAAATTAAAATTATTATAATTAATAAAAAAACGTGTAATTTAAATATAATAAAAAAAAACTAGTGAACATTACTATATATTATAATATACATATGTGATAGCACTATGGGTTTTATTATTATTTAATTATAATACTTCTACCTTTTTATTAATAATGATAGCACTATGGGTTTTTATTAATATTTTAATTAATGCTTCTACCTTTTTATTAATAATAATAGCACTATAGGCTTTATTATATTTTAATTAGTCATTATTTTTAGTGACATTAGTATATTTTAAACATTAATAATATCACTATAGGTTTTATTATTATTTTAAAAAACGTAATTATAATAAAAAAAACTAGTGAACATTAATATTTTAAACATTTATATATATTATTAGGATATATATATATATATATATGATAAAAATAATAAATAAGTATTAGATTTAAAATATTTAAATATAAAAGGTAATAATAAAAATAAAGTAAAGTTGCAATTAAATAATAACCAAAATAATAATATAGGATTAAATTAAAAAATATATAAATTATTGGTTATAATTCGAAATATTATAAAATATATATATTAAAAGTGTAAATAATCCTAAAATATTATTTATATATATGTAATATACGGGTAGTGACTAAAATAAAAATAACTAAAATGCAAAAACAAAATTAAAAGATATAGAAACCTGATTTTGGTGACTATAATGGAAAATTACAGAATATATGGACCATGGACGTGATTTATCAATCTTGAAATTACACACACACTCCCTCTCCAAAACGACGTAGTTTTGATTTGGATATAAATAAGTCAAATTTAGCTCAAAATAGCCAATTCTTCTCATTTTCTTAATTTTGATTCTCTCTCAAAAGAGAGAGAAGCTCTCACTTCTCTCTAAATTCTCTTATCGGAGGGAGCTCCGATCACCGGCCGGTCACTATTCCGGTCAATATTTCAACCACCGTCGGTTACTATTCATGCCGCTGGTCACTATTCCGGTCACTATTCCCGGCCGAAAAAAATAAAAATAGCTCAAATCGTAGATCGGCTCACCCGAAACCCGAAACCACCCTCCTTTTTTCCTAAAAAACTTCAAAACGGTCTAGATCTAAGATTTTACCTTCGGTAAAACAACTTTTCCAACGACGTTTTGGCTTTGATGAAGGTAAGATCTCCTCTCCTTTATTCTCCTTTCGGTTTGTTTGTTGCTCGTTGGTGTTGCTTGCTCTCTTCCCGTTCTTCTCGTTGTCCTCCTTTTTCTCGTTGTGTTTTCTTTTTTTTGTAGGGAAATCGAGGCTTTTTATAGCCCTCAAAATATTGTTCGTTCAGTGAGTCACCGGATCTACAATGGTGACTCACCATATAGCTGATGAAGTGTGCGGCTATCATCGTTTCTTCTAGATCCTTTTGTTGGAGGTGGTGGCGGTGTGACAACGTCGGAGTGGACCATCTGGAGGCGGCGGCCGAAATTACCCTAGGGTTGGTGAAACCTTAGGGTTTCTGCTGGATGCATCTGGGTCGTTGTATCTCTCCAGATCTAACGGTTGTAGATGATGGCGGCTGGAACTGTGTAGAAACCATAACAAAAACCCCTAAATGGGTCTTGGGCCTGATGGGTTCTATTTTTGGGCCTAAATCAGTTTTAGGAATGACTTGGGTTGAAATTGAAAACGAGCTTCGATTTTGTAATATTTGTAATAATAATAATAATAATAATAATATGAATAATAGTTGTAATATAATAATAATAATATATAGTCTCGGACGAAAATGACTGTCGACAGCTGCCTCTCTTTGCTTATTTTTGTGTTAATAAGAATAGAGCAAAGATAAAAAGACAATAAATTTTCGTCCTACTGACAAGTTTTTATAAGGAAATTAAAGTAAAAACATCATACCCTGAGGTTTTACAGATGACCCGGAGGATTTACAAATTACCCGGAGGTTTTAATTTTCTAGAACATTAAATGAGAAACTTTGGTAATCGCTTTCTCATTTTCATCCGAAAACATCCTACCCTGAGGTTTTACAGATGACCCAGAGGATTTACAAATTACCCTGAGGTTTTAATTTTCTTGAACATTAAATGAGAAACTTTAGAAATCGTTTTCTCATTTTCATGCGAAAACATCATACCCTGAGGTTTTACAGATGACCCGGAGGATTTACAATTACCCTGAGGTTTTAATTTTCTTGAACATTAAATGAGAAACTTTGGAAATCGCTTTCTCATTTTCATGC